GCTGTGTACTTACTTTGTATACTACTTGTTTTTTCATGTAATTCCCTTTTGAAAAAGTGAAAAAAGCAGATACAAACTGCAAAAAATTCGAGTATAAAAATAGTCCGCACACTATGTTAAGAAAATAGAAAGTGTCTTGTGTATAATATGGACACTGATTTTTTTTTGTATATCTCATTTAAAATGAGAATAACAAAAACACATATCTTCGATCACACACGTGTCTATGTGTCTAACATATAGTATACTATTTATGTAATAGACAGAGTGTGGACTATCTATTCCTATATACGAAACATAAATTCTCACTTTGAAATAAGAGAAAAAGAATTGTTTTGCGTTCTTGTAATTCAAGAAAAATGACTAACTATATCCATCAATAAAATCCCGTGACGTGAGTCGCGTCGCGAAATAGCGATATGGTAGTGATTGCGCTAAATAAAAACCCATATGAATTCGAAATCTATCTGAATCGAATTGATGCAGAATTCAGAGTCCCGTCGTGACTTCGCGCCATTATAGCGATCGCGACGCGATTACATATCGCGCAGCGACTCTTAAAAAAAAATTCTTTTTAAAATAAGAATCGATCGAGATCACGCCGCGACTTCGCCATATTATAGCGATCGCGACGCGAATATAAGATTTCATCGCGATCGCGCCGCGACATGCAGGGTATCATAGGGATCGCGGTAGCGACACCGCGATCGCGCCGCCAATGACGCGTGACAGTGGACCTGGGTAAACACAAGCATTTGGACACAAGCAACTGCGTTAAACAACAACACTTTTTCGTAGTAACTGTTTTTTTTTATAAACGATATGACGTGTCATATCATCGTAGAATAAATAACGCTATAGATTTTTGATCACATAATAACTAAATCAATCTCAATGATAAAGAGCTATACACAGCTTTTCTACTTTGAAATAGATAAATAATTTCGTTCTGTCCTAGCTCAACGAATTTCAAAAGTTATCTTAATCATTCGAAGAAAGTTTCTAATGCTCTTAAGTGCTAACCAAATATCTCATGAAGTTCGCTGCCAATCTTTTATTCAGGAAAATTCAAACAGCTAATTTCATGACTACGGGTGTTAATTTAGTGTTTTTTTAGAAACTCAATCTAAATGAATGATTTATATTCAAAAAATAAATACAAATTAAATAAAAAAAATTTATCTTTATTTTATAAAAGTAAATGAATTATTTATAATTATTTTGATCGCAAATGCCTCCTATTTCACTTCTAGATACTTGCGGCTTCTAGAAATTGGTTCTGATCTCCTTGAAGAAATTTTTTCATATCATTTTTGGTGGCCATTTCAACAAATACCATATCATTTTTTCCCAAACGTTTTCCTCTCCTGTCAAAGTCCTTGACCAAAGTTCATCTATAGAAAGATACAGAATTTTTCAGGCTTCAGAATGAGCTATAAAGAAGTCTTTCAAAAATATGTCCACATGGCTCAATAGTCGAAATACTTGGCCGATATAATGATTTTCACGTAGCTTAGTGCTTTAAACACGCCTCTAGTCATTTTTCTGGCATAAAAGTTACGTATTTTTCAAAAACGTTGCGTTTTTTTTCAAAAAAAAGTGAGCTGGTCAGAATATCCCGACAGGTGGAGCTAGTAATTAAAGATAGGGAAAAGAAGCGTTTGGGTGATATCTATACAGTACAGCGTGTCATAATGAGAAGGAATCGTTTGTTTTGGATTTTTCTGTAAACGCTGGAACCAATCTGAATACTGTTTTGAATAGCCCGAAGATTTTTCTATCAGATGAGGTGCGTATCGACGTTTCATGAGGAAAGTTGCTAATATTGTTTCTGGAAAACCAAGTCCTCGGTTATAGGCCAATTTCGGACCCGCCAGTAAATTCGGAATTTTGAAGACCATGTCACATGCAAACAGCTTCAAAACCACATTTTCTTATTCAGTTTTGCACGCTAAATAAGAAGAAAAAAATTACGAAGTTTCAAAACATAACGGGATTTCGAAAAATCAATTTTATTGCAAAAATAGCGGTTTTTGCACCATAGCCAAACGTCCGCTTTTTCGAAAATTTTTCTTTATTCCTGCATTCCTGTATTCCTATATTCCTGGATTCCTTAACTCCTGCACTCCTCGATTCCTGTGTGTTCCTACATTCCTATATTCCTGCATTCCTGTATTCCTATATTCCTGTCTTCCTGCATTCCTGTATTCCTTAACTCCTGCATTCCTCGATTCCTGTGTATTCCTGCATTCCTGTCTTCCTGCATTCCTACATTCCTGTATTCCTGTATCCCTGTATTCCTTAACTCCTGCATTCCTCGATTCCTGTGTATTCCTGCATTCCTGTATCCCTGTATCCCTACATTCCTGTATTCCTGCATTCCTGTATTCCTTAACTCCTGCATTCCTCGATTCCTGTGTATTCCTGCATTCCTGTATCCCTGTATTCCTCCATCCCTCTATTCCTGCGTATTCCTGCATTCCTGTCTTCCTATATTTCTGTATTCCTGCATTACTATATTCCTATATTGCAATATTCGTATAGTCCTGTATTCGCGTATTGCTGTGTTTCTGTATTTCAGTATTCCTGTACTCTTGCATTCCTTTATTGCACAATTCCTGAATTCTGTTATTTTTGTATTCTTTCATGCCATGGTTCAATAGGGAGCAAGATGTGTACTTAATTTTTAGTGTGTCTTGGTTGACTTACATGACTTGGTTGGTCATGTAAAGTAGCACTGAAAGTGTTGCTGTTAGGCAAGGATTTGTTTTAGACAACTTTGCTTTGCAGCAAAAGCAAAGTTTCCACGACACCCCTTATACTTACTCTGCTTTAAAGTCTAATGTCAAAAAAACAGCAGAGCATGTTTTTCGTGTTACTAATAGGCGCTACATATCATTCCTGATATTCTATATCATGACTGTGCCGTCATCAGTCATTCGTATATCAGCAACTTTAACACAGTTTTCGTACTGTAGTCATCTTCTATTGTCATCGATCAACGCATTCCCCTCCTTCTCATTGATCAGTACCCTTCAGATGCAAACGCCGTTTTAGTTATTTACCACTTTACAACGCATAAACGAGCGAACAACTTGTTTTGCATTATCTTAGAGTTACAGTTGATGAAACAGTTTTCATTTGATGGAACGCAAATTTTACCGTAGTTTTTAGCTGATTTCTCAGGATATACAAATGTAATGGAAATAAATACTAGGAAATACTGTACTGACTCTTTTTAAGATATCAGCCTCGGTGATATCTACAATACGATGATATTTGTTTCTCATATAAACTAGAAACTTTGTCTAAAGCACCTTCGTCGAATAGTCTATGGTCGCGCGGGATTATTTATTATTTACACTGAACATTCAAGTATAAGAAATGTTTACAAAAAAAATCGTAATAATGAAAGTAACCGAAAAAAAGTTATAATATCTTTGGATAAACGGTGTTTGCAAATACCGTTTTACGTAATAAATTTTTAAAGTTTATACTTTTAAGAGAAAAAATAACAGAAATTAAGTACGAACCATGAACGGTTAAACATAAAGGATGAAGAAGAATATAAACAATCTCACACTAAAGAGATATCTTAAAGATACCTAAGAATAAGCTTGTTAAAGAAAAACTAAAACAATAATTATTGCAAATAAAACAATTTAAAAACATTTAGTAGCAAGCCTAAACAAATCACTAGTCAGCAATATTATAAGATTTTATCTATTATCTATAGTCTGAAATTTCATTGCCTTGCATACGACTTAAGCCGTTGTGCACTGAGAGAAGTAGTTGAAGAACAGGAATCCCAAATCCAAACAAGAAAAATCAGAAAAAATGAGTTAAAAAGGAGAAAAAATCAGAATACGAACATTTTGGTGCTCAGATAATTAATTATACCTTTTTAACCAATAAATGTCAGACAACTCTAAAACACAGCAGGGGCGATTCATTCTATTAGTAGAAACAAAGTAAGGAAAAGTTCAGACTTTTTCTCAGTTCTCGAGCGCTCGTATGTACAAAGTACGCCTAAGCTCGCAGACTACTGTAATTCATCGAAGAATGAGCAGTTTCTGAGATAAGGATCTATACAAGGAAGACTTACAACGAGCTGAATACATGCGCTATGAGCCAAACTTCAGTTCGAATCCAAATAAAATCAGAAAAAATCTCAAAATCAGAAGATCAGAAGCGAAGTAGAAAAAGTTCAAAAATCAGAAATTTTCTGCCAAAATCAGAAGATCTGAGATCCTTGTTGAAGAAGTTATATCGGCGGACTACTATTTGTGGAAATAGTTTCGAGCTCAACTGTATCCTTTTTCTCACTTTTAACATCATTCATAGGACGACTAATTCGTCTTGTATTATGTTTATGTTGAATTTTAAGTAAGAGCTTCATAACAATTGGAACAAACAGAAGCTTAATAATTAAAAAGATTAATCCAAATATTTCAAGGCATACGATTGTAAACAACAAATTATGAAAGATAACCTCCGATAGCCTGGCAATTGGACTCTGAGTATTTTGAATGTAAAACTGTGTTTCACTAACGGTTACTAACAAAGTTGTTTGTGTCGAAAAATATCTTAAGTATTCACCGTGTTGACTATACAAAAGTTGATCTGATAATGTATTAATAATAAACGTTGGTACCCATAATCCACTGTACAAAGTTTTGTCACTGTCACTCAATCCTTCTGTTTCATTTATTACTTTTGTTAATTGTAAATCAATGCTAGACGAGTAAGCTAATGTTTGATTAGGAGTATAGAAAAATTTACAGAAATTCAATTGTTGAATTATATAACTATCACTACCATCCGATGGTCCCGAAAGGCAAATTCTTACCCCTCCAATTGAATAGGGACCAGTTAGATTAAATTGAACATTTATCTGATGAAAAGGTAAAACAACTGAAACACGAAATGTAGCATTATCATTCTGTACTAGATAATTAGAGATATTCAATTTAACAAAACTAGAACCAATATTTTGCTGAACAGTGACATTCATATATTTGTATAAAGTGTTAACAAAGTCAACGCTCATTGTAAACTCTTGTTTATCAAGCATATCAAAAATGGGTTCTTGCTCATCGGATCTCGGAATGGATAACAATTGTAAACCGGTACTAAATTTTGCATTACGTATACTAGTATCACAAGCAAATGTTGAATCGCTTGACTTTTCAATTGGATATTGTTTCAAATAATAATTACTAAACCAGTAAGCAAATGAAACTAAGACAATAATACCAAGCGATATTAAGCCTCCAATCCAAAGTTCACCTTCACCTACAAGATCTAATTGTTTAAATATTGTTTTAATCAATATTCGATGCTTGTGCTTAGTAGGAAAGAATGTTAATGTACCCATAATAATGAGAATAAGAATAGAAAGAACAATTATAATGGATGTCCAAAACAGAGGACTTACAACAATGCAATGATTAGTACTACCTATGCTAAACATATTCTGGATTAAAATATCATCAAATATGCTATTATCAGGTGACTTTGGATAAGCTTGGGAATTATTAATATTTTCAATTATAGAATAATTGACATCATTTACTGAGCCTAATGGACAAAATGATGTTTTTTGACACCAGTCACATTGAATACCTGTATCACCTTGATTTTTTCTTCCTTCTGGACAAACAGTACACGGCCCAATACCAGAACTATTCTTAAATGTTCCTGCTGGGCAGCTCACAGATGAATATACATTTATAATACCATAAAGATTTAAAATACTGCCACTATAGTATCCAGGTGGACTAGGATGGATGATCAATATCCGACCCATACTGTCGAAAACAAGCATGTATGATGACCAAGAACGGACGAGAAGAAAACTCGGATTTACAGGTAAATAAGAAGAAGAAACGCCGATTTGTTGATTGTTAGGAAAGGCAAAAATAGGCAAAGTGAAAGAATATTCAATATCGTACACATACACGGTAGATGATGACCACGGTGAATCTGCAAGAGAATAAACAATAATGGCTACTGTTGTATTATCAATCCATGCTACAGATTTACCCAAACCTATATAACTGTTATATCGACTTATAGTGTTAAGGATAATTAAATCGGTCGTATTAGCAGACAGTAGTACTACCGTATCGAATAATGGTATACCAATCAGTATTTGATTCTGTTCATTGATGTCTACAGCCATGTCATATTGTAAAGTGTAAGTTACAGCAGAAGTAACAGGAATTGCTACATCATTGATTAGTGATACATTACTTATTAATGTAAAATTAAATGTGAGCAGATCTAGATCGATAAGACAAGCCACAGGGGCATACTCATTAAGCTCAAAAACAAAAGCATATCCAGCTACAACGGCAAAATGTTCACTCATACCTATTGCATATGGAATAAAGATAGGATAAGAAGATACGGGAGGAGGCAATACTATATTCTGTTTCTGTATTTTTATCTCATAGGTATTTAGATTATAAAGAAAACTAAATATACTGGTAGCACCGTAAGCGATTAAGCCTAATGGATCAACACCAATAATATAATAGTCTTGATGATATGAAGGACTGTAAGAAAAATTCTGAATATTTAAATAAGCATAAGTACATGTATTATTGCTCAGGCTTATATAATATCCGATTACACCTACATTCTGATTTCCACTTACAATATCTTCTCCAATATGAACAAAATATGGCTGACTAGCATTTTGTTTTTTTCCAGCTGCTATACTATAAACATAGTCTGTTGCGCTAAAAAAAGGGACAGTGCAAAATGTAGTATCCTTGGAATAAGGACCAAATCCAATTGCAAAGAACTTTAATGCATTATTAACAAAAATCAAGGAATGTTCGTTTCCCACTAATTTAACACCATACGCATCATAATCATTTAAATCGGGGCTAAACTGATCGGTTAAAAGTGGATGATAAAATAAAAAGAGGCAGGAAAAGTAAAGAAACATGGTAACGAATGAAAGAAGAGTTGTCTGTATTTTCTATTTCGATAAATCAGGTAGTGCAGTGTTAACGAATAAGTCACACCTCGTTTTTAACTAATGTTTTGCACTTGAACCTACTAAATTATTTGCTCATTCATTGCATTTAATTAAGGTTCATAAATGATTTTATACCAAAACGTGACGGCCAAAGAATGATGATTGTTTTCGTGTAGATTTCTAAAAAAGGAAAAAACGCCGTTATTGTTTCAACAGTTTTCCATAACAGGAAACGTTAACTGATGAAACAAGTTTTTATGATGTATAACCACAGTTTTCGGCTAATTCTAAAACTCTCAAAGTTCTTTTTTTGTTGAATAAAACAAAAATCTTTTTGATTAGTCGAATGTTCTATATGAATTCTTGATAACCCTAGTGAAACTGCATATGAGCAGCATGGCTGTATTAGCTAATGGCTAGGACAACGTATTTACAAGTGCCGCGTTCGAACCCATCCAGTGACGATAACAACTATGTAATGGTCTTGGGCAAGCTATTCATGTTCATTGCCTCAGACCGTGACCTATAGATGAATATAATGGGGCTTGCCTCGATTTTCAGCTGATCACGTGCTCTGGGTGTTTAAAAAAAACAAAAAAAACTGCATAACTTATCGCATGCGAGCACGAAAGATGTTTCTGCATATACATGTAACAAAGATTTGTAACAAAACCTTTCACTAGAAAGATGCCTTCTTACGAGAGAATCTTTCGAGGTGTCACCGTCCATTTTCACTGATATTATATCAATTCATAGAAGATAGTGTCCTAGTAAAAAGCATAACAGCATTTGTGGTCCCCTCGCGCTTCTTTCAAAACTTATAATTTATTTTTGATCGCTTATATAACGAACATAATAACACTCAAAGTTTTATATATCGGTAAAAACATCGAATTAAGAGTTCACGTATTTTTCATAACCCTGCTCCTGGTCTGTTAATATCTCAAAAACGTTCAGGCTTTGAATTTGTTTACACACTGAGCTGAGTTATTAAGATTTTTCCTTAGTTAAGGAAATCTGTTTGATTAAACTTTCTATTGATACATTTATTAGTGTGCTATACTTTATGAGAACTGGAAAATAAAGGAAATGAGAATAACTCAGTGTGTAGACAGGTTGAAAACCTAAAAGCTTTTGAGATATTGGCACAACTGAAGCAGCATTATGAAAACAGCTTGAACTCTTAATTCGATGTTTTTACCAGTATACGAAACTTTCAGTGTGACTGTATTTCCTTATAATTGCTAAGCTGTGGCTAGGCATGTACCAAGCCTAAATTGAATTTCGATGAAATCTGACTTACACTCAAAGAATTTTGCATGAAATTCTGCTTTTTTTTTCTCAGATTGAAACTTTTCAAGGGAATTAAATTCTCTATAAGCTTCATCCCTTAATAATGCCTACATTACTTATTATGTTTTTGAATAAATCGTCGTTTCTCTCTACCAATACATTTAAAATACTGAATAAGCTTATTTGCAAATTTTCGCAAGAAAAAATGAGTTGCAAAACCGCTTAAACGCCCGTAACGGAATTACATTTTTTCAACTTTTGGGCTCTATTTCTCCTGAAATACCGAACAAAAGATGACAAAATTTTTATCAGAGATGTGCGGTGGAATGCTTGATTTGTGGTAAAACTTTCGAATAAGGCGGTTAAGTAGAATGATTTTTATGAGCAAAATAAGTGTCGTGACGGAATTACATTTTTTAGCCTTTTTTATCTAGTGCTCTTTTTTAGCTCGACCATGATGTCGACATACGCTTGACTCATGCTCCAGCATAAAACAAGCTCGACAAGCTCAAGTATCACGCCAAAGCTTGGATTTGGTACATAGCTGGCTATCACTTCTATGACAACACAAATGTAAAGCGAATATTGTGTTTTTTTCTTCGATAATATTGAACATAATTGAACATATTCCTATTAGAGTTTTGCAGTACAAAGTGTGTGTCTAAAAGCAATCTGGATAAACGCAAAAGTTTTATATTCATTATTTGGATGGAGTAAACGACGATTTAATTCTTAAAACTAGTAGCAAAACCTGTTATTTTTACGCACGTATTTCTTATAAGCTAAGCAACAGAAACGATGAAAAAGCAATTCTTTTTACTGGAAGCAGGCGCCATACTAACGAGTAAATCACAGAGTAGTGTCACAAAAAACAATTTTACGTTTCATTGCATAGAAGTCAGAATATAGCAATTTTGCGTTTCCGACTACAACAGTACAATACCAGCGCAAATCACTCATGTACCAGATGTAATCACGGTTTTCTACCATCAGAATTGAAGACGGGAGAATTTATCGTCATATTAGAATCGAAAAGGATCTGCGAGTAATCTACTTAGCAATATAAACTTTATTCTTACCTAAGCGCGGTCAGACTAGATGAATATGGTAAAGATAATAATACAAAATAAACGTTCTACAGCAGGTGTGTTAACCTGATTTTTTAAATTTCATGTGAGCGACAATAACTCGGAAATGTGTCCATAATGCGAAATAAATCTAAGACATTTTAAAAGTGAAAAGAATAAAAAAGGAAATGAAGGACAAAAATATATAATTTATCTGGACTACATTTCATTAAGTGGTGACAAAAAAGAACTTTTTGAAGAAAACAGTAAGTTTTCCTTTTCCGTGTCCTTTAAAACGTATTTTTGCTTTTTTTCAACAGTAATTCTAATAGCTATGGGAAAATAACAATCCAAAACCTATGCTCTCCTCGGCAACGTAAGTCTGCCACTGCAGTGTCATGTGCTCGCGGGTTTTGGCATTTTGCTGCTCAGATGACTTTCGAACAGCAACACATCGATACAAACTACGTCATGATATCAAGATGTACTCTATTTTATCTACACTGCATCACACAGTTCAATAAGACTTTTAGAAATCAACACAAAATACTTCTGTCTTTGAAAGCTTTTTTAGGAATCATCCGAGGTAAGAGAGTAGTTCATACTAATCTAAATCAAAGAATCATATTGAGCAGATGAAATAAAGTATATCTTGATATTCTGACGTAGTTTGACTGAGTTATTAAATTATTTCTAATTTTACTTTTTTTAGATATGGTGGTATTATGGAATAGGTTTTGCACTGAAAGTTAAATAACGATTAAACTCTTTTGTCATGAGATTTCTTTCCTAGGTTGATAATAAGTCGATATTCGAACAGAGCAGCTAAGCAATGAAATAGCTTGATTTTTTAATTTCATGTTAGTGACGATAATTCTGAAATGTGTCCATAATACAAATAAATCTTAAGACATTTTAAAAGTGAAAAGAATAGAAAAGGAAATGAAGGACAGAAATATATATTTTATCTGGACTACATTTCATTAAGCGGTGACAAAAAGAATTTTTTGAAGAAAACAGTAAGTTTTCCTTTTTCCGTGTCCTCTGAAATGTATTTTTGCTTTTTTTCAACAGTAATTCTAATAGTTTTTCTTTTTCCTTTGTTACTAATTTCTGACCCTAGGAAATCTCAGCCTTTACTCTTAGAAAGTAACGTTAATGGGTGCCGAGAGTTACTTCTTTCTATGAAAGTTACTTGTGCGGATGGAATATAAACAGAAATGTACGCGATAAATAATACGATTTCCATCGGTACGCTCAAGCAAAAACATTTTTCTGTTATCTACCGTGACATTAGATTTTTGGAAAATTTAGCTTTGGAAAGGTTTCGGAAATCTAATTTTGAACTAGATCAGAAAATATCGTTTTACTTGACTTTTAGCCGCAGGTTCATTTGGGAATGGAATGGAATCACCTCTTTTCAGAGTCGTGATCGCAAAAATTTTCATAACTCTGAGTTGCCTACCACCATCCCTTGCTGGTCATTATGAAACCTCTGCGCTGAGCCGTCAATCAGAAAGATCCAAGGCCTATCCCTTCGCCATACCCTGCAACACACATCCTTAACCTCGTTTAACGTAATTGCGGACTAGGCGCAGAAATGGCTCTACAAGTTTTCAAGACTGGCTACGCATAGTGACACTTAAGAGGCGATGCTTTTCATAAAAGTAAAGACATTTTCTCAATGGTCTTTATCATTTATTTTTTGAGTGAGAAGATTTGGTCGAAGTGAAATGATGATCAGATTTCTTGTACAACTGACTTTTCTATTCCGCTGGTCAGGTGAACTTCATCAAGCAGAATACAGAAAACTAACTTACTAGTGTTACATTAACCAACTCGATGTGGTTAATGCTATATTCACATTTTAATTCAAAAACAACTTGATATTCATCATCTACCCTACAATTCAAATCGATTGATAAATGGCACACGGTGTTTCTGAACAAAAACTCCGTAGGATGATTTATAGAGTCTCACAAGTCAGAAATATTGTTTTCTCCCCCCTTTCTGGGGTAAACCCTATAGAAGAAGCGTTTAAGAGGATGAAAGGTTGGGGAATTAATGACAAAGATAGTAAAAAAGTGGTGAAAATTCTAGATGAATAGTGTTCTAGTACCACCCCAGAGAAAACGTTAGCTTTATGGGGAAATTTTAATGAGGGTTTTGACACAACAATTCATCAAATACCCTTGAATTTTGTATCCTATAACGTTCAATGCCTATTAACCCGAGGTTCTGGAGTTGCCGCACAAAACAGACTCGTCATTTTGTTTTTGTTTAGAAATAGGAGAGTGGAAAGATTTTCTCATAACAGATCACGGTCTTTTTTATCAGGAGGGGGCAAATAAGAACGGAGGTGTATGTCTAGCTCTGGGTAAACATTTAAAGGGAGCGGCAGTACAAAATAAAATTCCATATACGCTGGTAGTAGATATTTTAGGGCTGACAGAAGACTTAAGAGTAATAGGTCTATATTGGGCTTGATTCGAAAAAAAAAAAGAGAACTTGATGATTTAATATCATTTTTTACAAAACACATTATAATTTCAGGGGACTTTAATGCTTCAGTTTTTAACAATAACTACTGTCTATTTCAAAATAGAA